CCGGGCCGGCCAGTTTCCGTTAGAGCCTTTGGAGGGGCACCCCGAATTTTTTAAAGGGGGCTTTTTCCCGAAGGAGGGGGAAACCCCCCCGCAGATTTTTGGCGCCTTTTTCAGGGGCCCCAAACCCCTTTTCCAGAACATTGGGGAGGAGCTCGGGGAGAACGTCCCCCCCCCCTCCTTCGTGTGTAATCCGTCCATCGCCATTTCTGGCGTCGCGCCGCCGCCGCCACCGCCGCCTGCCAAGAAGCGCGGTTGGGTCGTGGCCGTCGCCGTGTGCGTGCCCCTCGGCGTCGCCCTGCTCGCCCTCGGTGTGTACCTGCTCGTCAAGAAGGGCAAACTCAGCGTCCCGGGATACGGCTCCGACCGTCCCTCGATGACCAAGCACACCGTCACCGAGGGCGTCTAAGATCACCGCTGCGCGCGCGGGCGGCCCCGGACAAGAACGCTGCCGGGGCAAAGTACCCGGCCGTTCAGTTGCCTGGGCCGCCTCATGTTGAATATATCACGCGCGCAGCATCCTTTGCATGTCGGGGAGCACGGCGCACATATTGATCCTGCGCAAGACCGTCGTCCCCAGCCGAGTATTGGCGACGGACGCATTGGGGCTCGCGCTCGCCCCCCCCCCCCCCCCCCCCGAACACACACACACTTCTGCCCCCATATACTGCGGTTCAGCTCGCAGCCGCCGTGTGATTCAGCTGTGAACACCCACCCTTGGTCCCTGTGCGTGCTCGAGCGTCAAGGGCTTGAGCCGTGCTAGAGTTCCTTTGTTGATAGATTGTATGTATGTACAAAGAGAGACGGTTCGACTTTGGGAGAGCCGTGGGTCCTCGAGAGCGGAGGAGAAAACTCCTCTCTTTCTGTTTCAATCGGTCAGAGATTGTCAGGTGGGGACTCTCTGTGCTTCTCCCATGATCCCTCGTTGGCGTGTCCATTTCCTTTTTCCTTTCCAAGGCTTAAGGCTGAGAGAGAGAGAGATTGAGCGCCCTGGCGTTTCTCGAGCCTTCCTGGGGCTCACTCAGCGCAAGTAACCAACGAACTCTTTCCCCCCTAGCTCACAAGCTAAAGATGTTCACGGGCGCCCGCACGCAGGGGCACGGAGGCAGAAGCCTCGCGCGGGTGCTCTTTCTTTCTTTGTGATAACCAACCTCCTTCCTCCGTGACACCACGGCCACGCCCACGGCGCCAAAAAAGTGCTGCGCCGGGACCCGTTTTAAGTGGAGGAAAACCGAAACGATTTTTGCATCGGCCTGGCGGACGAAATTAGTGGCTAGGAGCCCCTTCCTTTAGATGTCACCCCCTCCACCCCCTCCCCCGCAGGCACCTCGACGAGGAGTCGGTGCCCGGCGTCGATGCCCGGCGCGGGCGGCTGGCGGGCGGGGCAGGAGATCGACCTGCACGAGGGGCCTGGCGACTCGTGGACGAAGCTCGTCTACTTCGCTTGCATCTCTTGAGCTCATCTCGGCACTCGGGGCCCCGCGGGCGAGGGTCGCCTCGAGAGGGTCGCGGGACCAGCGCTGCGCCGTCTCTGCCCGGCGGCGGGCGTTGCGAGGTCGCTCCGGCGGGGGGATGTGTGATGGTGTGCCGTTTCAGGATGGGAGAGGGGGCGGGGGGCGCGGGGTTCCCCCGAGATGGGTATAAGCCTTCGCAGCGGCGAGAGCGTGGAGTCAGCGTTGCGCGCGCGGCGAGGAGGGGAGGTGAAGAGGAGAGGTGAACGCTGGCAAAAAAGAAATCATTTTTGCGAATGGCAAAAGGGCAAAAAAGAATTTTACAACCAAGCACCCTCGCACAACACTGGGCACGGGACTCGCGCGCACTATGGGCAAAAAAGAAACCCTGGGAGGCCGGCGCGCCGAGTGGTGCGACGCCCGGTTTTGCACGCTCCGCTCGTGGCCCACTCACTCTTCGCAGCTAGAGATGGAGCGCGTTGCAGCCTCCTCCCAGGCTGTCTGCTGCACGCTGCAGCCGCTCAATGCGCGCCTGTCGACGCTTCGCATCGCCCTCACCCCCGGCCAGCGCTTTCGGTTCGGCCGCCACGCAGAGTGCGAGCAGTCTTTTCCGTCCGACTATCGCATCTCATCTCTCCACGCGTCGCTCCTTCTCGACGTGTGGGACGACGGCACGCCCTGCATATCGATCGAAGACTCGTCCATCAACGGCACATACATCAACGCCGAGCGGGTGCCAAAGGGCGCACGCCTCCGCCTGCGCTCTGGGGACCAGCTCTTCCTCGTGATTCCGTCGGAGGAGCTGCTGCACGCGACTGGCTACGAGGGCTCGCTCGTCGCAAAGTTCATCGGCTACGTCTTCTCCTACGACAGCGACGTGACCCCAGCCGCTGCGCCCGTCGGCCGCCTCTCCGGCCGCTTCGTCCCCGCGAGCGAGAAGTCGGCGCCGGAGGACGCGATGGGGGAGACGGACCCATGCAGCGGCCAAGCGGCCTCCTCCGGAACGCCCTCCTCGATCGCACAGATGACAGCCGCCGCCCGCGCCGCCGCCGCCACCGCCGCCGAGCCGCCGCTGCCGATGGACCGCTTGCGGCGAGTGGCGGCCGAGCTGCACGAGGAGCGGGACGCGGCCGCCGGGAGCGGCGAACCACCCCCGCCGACCGGTGCTGCCGGCGAGCTGCCACCCGCCGTGTCGATGGCCACATGGCTCGCCAATCTGCGCTCCGTTGAGAGCGCCCGCCCGCCTTGGTCGGTGGCCTCTGAGGACCTCCAAGTGCGACGAGTGCCTCGTGCGCCGTCCGGGCAAGTTCCCAGCGGCAGCTGATCGCCGTTACAGCGTTGGCTGGGTTGCGTTGGCCGCTTGTCGCCACTGTAGTTTTTCAGTTGTGAGTTGACCTAAATTTGCCCGCGCGAGAGGGGCGAGATACGGTTACTTCCCCCAGGATTGGTCTTCTCTGCCTGCGGGAACACCCTCGGGCGGCCGGGTGGGGCTGCGGCTGGAGCTAGCATGGCTCGGTAGAGCCGAGACCCCGTGTTGAGGCGGCGCTCCTGTGGGCGGCTGTGGAATCGGCAGATTCGACCTCAGATCTCCAGAGTATTCTCATCCCAGTGGATGGACGTCCGTACGTCTCTTTGTGTTCCTCTCCCCGTCCGCCAGCGAGACGCTCTGTTGCTGGCGGCCGCAGTTTTCTGTGAGGTGGGAGGAGAGGAAAGGATAAAGTGGAGATGGCACAGCAGCAGGCCCCGCCAGCTGCACAAGCGCCCATCGTCGTCGTCGTCGACGAGGTTCAGATCACCAGTGATGCAATGCTCGTTCTCGTTCCAGGGGCTCAACACGTAAAGGACCACACGCCTTGTCTGAGTTGGACCACGGTGTACGACAATGCAGGAGTAGTGACCAGCTACACCCTGGGGCAGAGCGACGCCAATGCGCTCGGCCTCACCACCACGATCTCGGACGGCCTCATGGCGCCCACTGACGCCAAACGCGACTGTGTGGACAGAACCAAGAAAAGAAAGCATTCTTAAAATACAAGAAGAAAGAAACCAACCAAGAGAGAGAGAGAGAGAGAGAGAGAGAGAGAGAGAGAGAGAGAGAGAGAGAGAGAGAGAGAGAGAGAGAGAGAGACTTTGCACGAGTCGCCGTGTCGCCGTGACGCTCCTTGTTTTTAAACCCCAATGCTTTGATGGTGAAATCATCCTCTGGAGCTACATGAGCCTTGAGACTGGTCAGATTCTCCAAGATGTTGGACTTTCAGCCACGATGTGCGCCTGCTCCCGCGGCGTGGACGAACAGCGCGTCGTTGTCGTCCATCCCATTTTTGGTGACATAGCCCCACTCCTTCAATTTGGCAAAGAAGGGGGCTTTGTTTGCGCCGAGCTGGAAGACCTCGGCGTACACGACGAGCGGCCTGTTTCCGGTGGTGAAGAAGCGCTCGGCGCCCTGGATGACCGCGTACTCGTGGCCCTCGACGTCCATCTTATTTACAAGAAAAAATGGGGGGTGGGTTCGGGATAACAACTTGACCAAGCCCACTGAACATCGCGAAAAAAATGTTCAGCGGCAGACGTCATGTCCATTGTGGCGTCACGAAAATAAATTCTCAATTTCTCTCCAACCACTACGACTCTGAACACACTGACTCCAACCCGCGCTGAAGCATCCGACTTCGACGCATTCGGCTCAAACCCCGCCCGAACGCTGCTCGAAATTTAAGATAGACGCAATACAGATAGATGAGGCTCTCTGGCCCGCCTCTCTCACCACAACCATCCCGTTCAGCGTTGAAGCCGTAATCTCTGACCGCTTCGATATGTGCTAGGTTGTTCCTCCACACGGCTAGCACACATCGAAAAGACTCCTGTCAGACGCTCCTGTGGAAGTACCTCCGCGTGGAAGAGCCAGACTCTCGTCTCTTCCACATGCGCTACAGGCGCACCAGGCTGCCTCATCTTTTTCTTTCGCAGAGTTATGCCTCATGCCTGGCGCGCCGCCGCTGTACCCAGACGAGCACCTCCGGGCCGTTGAGCAGTGCGTCGATGGTGATTGGCTGTATGCCGCCATCGGTGAGGGCTTGGAGCTTGCCACCAGCGCGCCAGCTCAGCTCAGCATAGAAGGCGGCCGGGTCCATGTCGGTGCGCGCACGCATGCGCGCTGTGTTGCACTCGATCACAAGGATGCAGCGCGGATTCTTTGCGAGCGTCCTGTTGAGCCCACGCCACGCCTTGGCCTCGAAGCCCTCCACGTCGATCTTAATGAAATCCACCCGTGGCTCGTCCGCGAGCAGCGCGTCGAGCGGCTTCGCTTGGACTTGCACGCTTCCTGCTTCGTTGTTGTTGGCAACAATGTGATTGTTGAGCGCACGATCGGGCGTGCTCGAGAAGGCCACGGTGCCGGGGCGATCGGAGATGGCGATGTTGTGCAGTCGAATGGTGTTGCCGAGCATGCCCGTGTTTTCAAGCGTCGTCTGCAGCAGCGAGTGTGTGCGTGGGCTCGCCTCGACGGAAATGACTTTGCCACCGCCAGGTCTCAGCTTGTTGGCAAAGTGGAGCGTGTGCCAGCCAAAATTGGCACCGACGTCCACCACGGTCCACGACGGCTGCAGCGCATTCAGCATGCCGTTGGTGATCTCAGGCTCCCAACCACGGCCGCGGCAAAGGTGGCCAACGATACCCTGGTCTCGCGTATCCAGGTACATGTCGGCGTTCACCTGCGGCACGAAGCAGTTGATCTTGTAGTCGCCGAGGTAGAAGGGTTCCTTAGTCTGCGCAAGGACGACGACGGGAAGAAGCGAAAGCACAATCGACATCGCTGATGTGATGGATTCGAGACTGAGTCGATCGATTGGTGTCCTGCGCGTAAGGCGCGGGGTGGCTCGGACCCATGGAGACGCGGCAGAGAGAGGGCTGCGGGGAGAAGTGGAGGAGGCCGGTCCAGAGACACGCGTGACGGCCGTGGAGGTGGCCGGCAGCGGCACGCGAAAGTGTCGCGAGCGTGGGTGTGCGAGTCGGGCTGTTGTCGAATCGCAGGCGGCCGCGAGAGCGTGAGAGCGCGACGCGGCTGTGGTGTGTGGTGAGTCCGTGTGTGGGAGGGAGGGCGAGGCTGGCTCGCCTAAGCAAGGACTGGGGAAGAGACGCCTATGCAAGGACTCGCTGCGAGACGCCCTAAAGACAAGTCGCCGTGACGCTCCTTGTTTTAATGATTTTGCTAGAGGGGGAGCAACCCGCTCTAGTATCACACGTCGCGTGCCCTGTCGCCTGTCTGTGTTGTTGTGCTGTTATTTGTGCCCTTGGCACCTTGAGTGCTGGGGGGGGCGACGGGGGGGACGTTGCCGCGAGTGGCGTAGTGCCGTACGCTTACTCGTGATGTGTGGCACACGACACCACTTTTTCGTAGTGTACCTGTGTTAGTGCCAGTGCGCGCCAGCCCCTTGCTCAGTGTCGTGCGAGGGCGTTCGGCGGCAAAATTCTTTCCGGCTCCGGTGGTGAGCCGGTGAGCGGTGTGTGTGCCAGTCCGCGCCAGTCCGCGCCCTTGTCGTGCCAGCGTGCTGTGCGGAGGGAGCGTCGGTCCTGCTCCCGAGCCTCCTCAGACTGCTGCGCGGCGCGCCGCCGTCCGTCGTCGTCGCCTCGGCGGAAGGGTGCGGCCAGCTCCGCCTCCGCCTTGCGCACCGCTCTCCCCAGGTACACTACGAAAAAGTGGTGTCGTGTGCCACACATCACGAGTAAGCGTACGGCACTACGCCACTCGCGGCAACGTCCCCCCCGTCGCCCCCCCCAGCACTCAAGGTGCCAAGGGCACAAATAACAGCACAACAACACAGACAGGCGACAGGGCACGCGACGTGTGATACTAGAGCGGGTTGCTCCCCCTCTAGCAAAATCATTAAAACAAGGAGCGTCACGGCGACTTGTCTTTAGGGCGTCTCGCAGCGAGTCCTTGCATAGGCGTCTCTTCCCCAGTCCTTGCTTAGGCGAGCCAGCCTCGCCCTCCCTCCCACACACGGACTCACCACACACCACAGCCGCGTCGCGCTCTCACGCTCTCGCGGCCGCCTGCGATTCGACAACAGCCCGACTCGCACACCCACGCTCGCGACACTTTCGCGTGCCGCTGCCGGCCACCTCCACGGCCGTCACGCGTGTCTCTGGACCGGCCTCCTCCACTTCTCCCCGCAGCCCTCTCTCTGCCGCGTCTCCATGGGTCCGAGCCACCCCGCGCCTTACGCGCAGGACACCAATCGATCGACTCAGTCTCGAATCCATCACATCAGCGATGTCGATTGTGCTTTCGCTTCTTCCCGTCGTCGTCCTTGCGCAGACTAAGGAACCCTTCTACCTCGGCGACTACAAGATCAACTGCTTCGTGCCGCAGGTGAACGCCGACATGTACCTGGATACGCGAGACCAGGGTATCGTTGGCCACCTTTGCCGCGGCCGTGGTTGGGAGCCTGAGATCACCAACGGCATGCTGAATGCGCTGCAGCCGTCGTGGACCGTGGTGGACGTCGGTGCCAATTTTGGCTGGCACACGCTCCACTTTGCCAACAAGCTGAGACCTGGCGGTGGCAAAGTCATTTCCGTCGAGGCGAGCCCACGCACACACTCGCTGCTGCAGACGACGCTTGAAAACACGGGCATGCTCGGCAACACCATTCGACTGCACAACATCGCCATCTCCGATCGCCCCGGCACCGTGGCCTTCTCGAGCACGCCCGATCGTGCGCTCAACAATCACATTGTTGCCAACAACAACGAAGCAGGAAGCGTGCAAGTCCAAGCGAAGCCGCTCGACGCGCTGCTCGCGGACGAGCCACGGGTGGATTTCATTAAGATCGACGTGGAGGGCTTCGAGGCCAAGGCGTGGCGTGGGCTCAACAGGACGCTCGCAAAGAATCCGCGCTGCATCCTTGTGATCGAGTGCAACACAGCGCGCATGCGTGCGCGCACCGACATGGACCCGGCCGCCTTCTATGCTGAGCTGAGCTGGCGCGCTGGTGGCAAGCTCCAAGCCCTCACCGATGGCGGCATACAGCCAATCACCATCGACGCACTGCTCAACGGCCCGGAGGTGCTCGTCTGGGTACAGCGGCGGCGCGCCAGGCATGAGGCATAACTCTGCGAAAGAAAAAGATGAGGCAGCCTGGTGCGCCTGTAGCGCATGTGGAAGAGACGAGAGTCTGGCTCTTCCACGCGGAGGTACTTCCACAGGAGCGTCTGACAGGAGTCTTTTCGATGTGTGCTAGCCGTGTGGAGGAACAACCTAGCACATATCGAAGCGGTCAGAGATTACGGCTTCAACGCTGAACGGGATGGTTGTGGTGAGAGAGGCGGGCCAGAGAGCCTCATCTATCTGTATTGCTCTATCTCAAATCGAGCAGCGTTCGGGCGGGGTTTGAGCCGAATGCGTCGAAGTCGGATGCTTCAGCGCGGGTTGGAGTCAGTGTGTTCAGAGTCGTAGTGGTTGGAGAGAAATTGAGAATTTATTTTCGTGACTCGTCCGCTCGGCGGTGCGCACCGTCTCCTTGAAGGCTGCTCGTCAGCCGCACACCTCCCCAGCGTGGTGGCCACGTGCGAGGCTGTCTGACAGTCTGAGACGGGCTGCTGGAGACGGCCAGCCCCGGTCTCTCAACGAGCAATCGCGCGAGGGGCCGCAAGGAGGGCGAGCACCAAGCAGGCACCCTCCCCGTCGGCATCCTCTCACCCCGGCTGCTCTCGGCTGCTCTCGGCTGCTCTCGGCTGCTCTCGGCGTGCTCTCGGTGTGCTCTCGGTGTGCTCTCGGCGTGCTCTCGGTGTGCTCTCGGCGTGCTCTCGGTGTGCTCTCGGCTGCTCTCTCGGGGGAGCACGCCTCCCCGTCGGCGCCCTCAAAGGTGCGCGCGTTGAGAACGAGGAGCAACAAGACCCGCCCGCCGCCAACGCTCGTGGCAACGCTCGTTGCGCCGCCCGCGGGAGCCTCGACGGCGACGCAGCCGAAGCACACCGTCACCGAGGGCGTCTAAGATCATCGCTGCGGCGCGCGGGCGGCCCCGGACAAGAACGCTGCCCGGGCCAAATACCCGGCCGTTCGCTGCCTGGGCCGCTCATGTGGAATATATCGCGCGGCTCGCGCTCGCCCCCCCCCCCCCACCCACCCACCCACCCACACACACACTTCTGCCCCCATATACTGCGGTTCCGCTCGCAGCCGCCGGTGTGATTCAGCCGGTGAACACTCACCCTTGGTCCCTGTGCGTGCTCGAGCGTCAGGGCCGGTGGTGAGCCGTGCTAGAGTTTCTTTGTTGATAGATGGTATGGCGATCCACTCACCACGGCAAGTCGGTTCAACTCCCCGCGCGCCTAGGCCCGCGCGCCTCACAGGGGGTCCCAGGGATTCCTCTCTCGTATAGGACGGGTTGCACCCGGCGGCACGGCGGCAGGCGCGGGCCTCCTAGGACTGGTTGCGCTCTCCTAGTTCTCCTGCTCCTGACAAAAGGGATAGCGTCAGCGACAGGTTCGCAGCACGGTGGACTCCCTCCCTCTTCCACTGGCGATCTCTGTCGACTAGCGACCTTCCTCCGGCTTCTCACTGGCAGTCTCTCACTACCACGGGCACACTGACAGAGGCGGCCGAGGCACACGCCGAGGGTGGCAGGGGCGGTGATAGGAGTCTCCCACTCTGTGGGCTTCGCTAGAGGTGCGTCCTGCGTGTGTCCTCGTCCTTGAGGTCTTGAGAAGGGGAAGGGGAAGGGGCCAAAAACCGAACGAGGGATGGGGAGGAGGACAGGGTAAAGAAAGAAAGAAAGACGCAGACAACCCAACGGAGGGATGGGACCGGGTCCCCCGGGGGTAAATTCTTTTTTGAGGCAGAGAGCGAAGAGCGAACGCGGGCAACAACACCAACTCTCGCTCGCCTCTTTCGAGCCTTTTTTCGAGCCGTGATGGTGGACCGGGCCGACTCTGAGGCCCGCGACTACCTCGCGCAGCACGGCTACCAGCACGCAAGCAGGAGCCGCGCGAGCGCGATTGGCATCGACGGGCTGCTCGAGCAGGCGCTCTCGCCGCTCGCCTCCGCCGCCTCCGCCGCCTCCGCCGCCTCCGCCGCCTCCGCCTCCGCCGTCGCCGTCGCGCCGTCGCCGCCTCTCTGCGGCCACACTACTGTCGCCTCTGTCGCCGCGGCGCGAGCTCACGCCGCCCGTGCCGCGCCACGACAGGCGCTCTCGTCCGACGGAGGGATGCACAGCCGCAAGGGTCTGCGGCTCGGCCTCCACCTGCACCCCGAGCAGGAGGGCCCGGGGTACGTCGAGAGCTTCCGCCGGTGGAGCGAGTGGCTCGACGGCAGCTCCGCATCGCTGCAGCGCGAGCTGGGCGGGCTGCGCTTCCCGATCCTGCTGCACTGCTTCATTGGCATCGCGTGCCGGCTCGGCGACATGGCGCCCGCCCGCCGCTTCCTGCAGGAGCATGCGCCGAAGCTGCGCGACGAGGCGCAGCGGGCGGCGGCGAGCACGCTCGAGAAGCTGCAGCACGCGGCGCAGCTGCAGGAGCACGAGGGCGCGCGGCGCTACCTCGTGCACCGGACGACAGTGTTCTGCTCGCCAGAGGCGCGGGAGAGTGTGACGAGATGGTGGGAGGGTGTAGGAGAGTGGCCTCCGTTGGAGAGACGCTGCTCACGCGTCTCCGCCGCGGGGAGCAGGCGTGGGAGGCGCTGGTCGCCTTCCTCACCGCCTCGCAGCTCCCTCTCCTCCTCCGTGTCCTCACGAGGCACTTCGACGTCTTCGCCGTCGCCTCCGT